GACTTGAAAACTTATATCCACACAAAACCTGCACGTGGATGTCTATAGTAGGTTTTTCATAATTGCCAAAGTTTGTAAGCAACCAAGATATCCTTCAGTAGGTAAAAGGATAAATAAACTGGTACAGACAATGGAAAGTTATTTAACATTAAGAAGAAATGAGTTATCAAGCCATGAAAAGATGTGGAGGAACCTTAAATGTATATTACTAAGTGAAAGAAGCCAATCTGAAAAGGCTACATACTGGATGATTCCAACTATGTGACACTCTGGAAAAGGCAAAACCATGGAGAAAATAAAAAGATTGATAGTTAGCAGGGGTGGAATAGGGTGGAGGAAGGGATGAATTAGTAGAGCACAGATTTTTAGGTTAGTGAACCTGTTCTGTGCAATACTGCAATGACGGATACATGTCATTCTACGCTTGTCCAAACCCAGAGCATGTACAACAGCAAGAGTAAACCATAAGGTAAATTATGGACTTGAGTGATGATTATGATGTGTCAATGTAAGTTCATCCTTGGTAACAAATGTACCACTCTGGTGAGTGATGTTGACAATGGGGAGACGCTATGCTTGTGTGAGTAAGGGGTATATGCGAAATCGCTGTACCTTCTTCTCAATTTTGTTGTGAACTTAAAGCTGCTGTTAAGAATTGTCTTAAACAAAACAAAACAACAATAAAATGATGCAAATAAGTTATATTTAATTGGAATCAGCATCTTACTGCTTTATAATATAAAAGTGCTACTTTTTTGGTAGTTTCAGCTAGTCAAACTATTTCACCATGGACTGTTAGGTTCTGTAAAGACAGGGACTGTGTTTGTTATGTTCATTAATAAATACTCACTCTTGGGGTTGGCCCCGTGGCCGAGTAAAGTTCGCGCGCTCCGCTGCAGGCGGCCCAGTGTTTCGTTGGTTCGAATCCTGGGCGCGGACATGGCACTGCTCATCAGACCACGCTGAGGCAGCGTCCCACATGCCACAACTAGAAGAAGCCACAACGAAAAATACACAACTATGTACCGGGGGGCGTTGGGGAGAAAAAGGAAAAAATAAAATCTTTAAAAAAAAATAAAATAAAATAAATACTCACTCTTAGGAAATGCCTGGTTTATCAGAGGGCTCAAAAATATTTGTTGAAAGGATAGCTTTCATTAAGTTTATTAGTTATGCTAAAATTATGTGCTGAAAGATATTAACAAATAACCATAATTCTTTGAGTTAGAATGACTTCTTTTTCTGTGGCTAGGTGTTGAGGAAGGAAGAAGTCAGAGAGAGATTCTATGTAAGTCATAGAATTCTGCTAGATCAGTTCACACAGTCCAACAGCCTGGTTTCCAGAGAAGCAAGCAAAAAGGAGCAAAGTGTTGGAGAGATGAAAAGACAGAAAGAACAAGGCAGAAAGAGAAAGCAAGTGAGAGACAGAAGCAGAGAAAGGGAAAAGCTTTCTCTCATCAGGAAGCTGCTGGGACTCCTTTAACTTAAAAAATGCTAAAAAAGTGTGTGTGTGTGTGTGTGTGTATGGGAGAGCTCAGACCCACATGCACTCAGATTTTAAGACTTGTACATAAACTCTCCGCCCACTAGTACAAAATTCAGAAAGATATTATTTTTTGGCATTTTTTTTAAAAAACTGAGGTACAATTGACAATAACTAGTAACAATAATTAGTTTCAGGTGTACAACATAATAATTTGATATTTGTGTATATTGTGAAATGATCACAATAAGTCTAGTTAACATCCGTCACCAGACATAGTTACAAAATTTATTTCTTGTGATGAGAACTTCTAAGGTCTACTTTCAGCAACTTTCAAATATGCAATACAGTATTATCAACTATAGTTAATAATTAGGTATTCCTAACACTTTTCTAGATAGTAATTTTATATTCCATAATCTAGCATGAATGTACAGATATTATAATATTTATCAAAGGATGTATGGGACCTTACTGTTACTGCACCAACCACCTTTTCTTTTTCACTCACTTTATTTTTTAGCTTCTGACTTGTAAATCACATATTCTTTCCAAGATGCTCTCACTATTTTACTCAGTCTTACCTTCATCCCCAAAACTGTCACTAAATTCATTTTATAACCGTACAGAATCTTGTTTGTTTTTCTTAGTTTTGCTTTCTTTCCATGATTTCTACTTGATTTGTAACTGCAGATTCCCCCTTTTATTTTTTTTAAAGATTGGCACCTGAGCTAATATCTGTTGTCAATCTTGAGAGAGTGAAAAAGAAAAGGTGGTCAGTGCAATAACAGTAAGGCCCCATACATACTTTGATAAATGTTATAATATCTGTAGATTCATACTAGGTTATGAAATATAAAATTACTATCCACAAAAGTGTTAAGAATCTTTTTTTCTTTTTTTGTTCTTCTTCCCAAAGCCCCGCAGTACATAGTTGTATATTCTAGTTGTGAGTGCTTCCTGTTGTGAGATTTCACTATTTTTGTATCTTAAAATATCCTCTCAGTGTGAAAAAAAACTAATGTGGTTTTGTTTTCCAGCCTGGACTCTGGTTGTTTCCATCTGGGAAGCACTTTGAATTAAAGTCTTAAAGAAAGTGAGGGGTGAGCCAGGTGGATACATGGAGGAAGAATGTTCTAGACAGAGGGAGCAACAAGCACAAAGGCTGAAAGTTGAAGGCTGTTAGTGTTAGGGGAAGCCAGGAGACTAATGTTATTGGAACGGAGTTTGTGAGCAAGAGCAGAGCAAAATGAAATGGGAGAGGGAGCAGCTAGCACAGGTTGTATCAGGCTTTATAGACCATTAGATTTTACCCTGAGAGAGTTGGGAAGCCTATGGAGATTGTGAACTGAGAAGCTATGATGTGACATATTTGAACACATCACTCTGGTGGTTTTGTTGAGAAAAGTCTGAATGAGGCAAGGACATAAAAAAATCCACTTAGGGTGAATGGTGCTCTGTCCAGCATACGATCTGAACAGTAGAAGAGTGTCAGCTAAAGGAATGATTAAAAGCATTACCAATCAAGGCATTCATTTGCATTCAAGGTTAAAGTAACTCTATAGTCCATAGAATTTGCAAGTTCTAATTTGTCTTCACATTCCTCAGAAAATTCTCCATTCTTTCCGTATGTTGATTGCTAGTTGGGTGATATTTGGCAGATATCTGTGCATGGTTTTAAACATCTTTTAATAACCAGAAAATTTCATTAATTTTCATGATTTAAGTTTTATATAGACCCTAATTATACCTGCCCAGAATATTAATTCTGCTAGTGTGTTGCTGAACGTTTGCTTTTAGGGCATGTTATACAAGTTAAGGGCATTATTATCTATTAATATAGTTACAAAGCCACAATGTTAATATGTGCATCAGTCTGATCTGGTTTGAAACATCTCAAACTGATTAATTCAAGGAAAAACTAATAAAGGTATATATACTTTTTCAAGGAGAAATATATTTACTTAAACACAAAAGTAAAAAGTGACATTCTTTGTGTGTTGGTTTGAGTTTCACCAGAATTAGACCCTGAGACAAGAATTTCATGTACAACTAACTTCCTTGAGAGTTGATCCCAGGAAATATTGTCAGCGGAATGGGGAAGTGAGTCAGGGAAGGGATGGAAGTCAAAAAAGAGTGCATTATCAAGCAGGTTACCATGGGGTCAACTAGAGCTTAATTCCTCTAGGGGACAATGTAGCCAACTTGCCTCACGTGCTGGGTCTTTATCCATCAACTCCCTCCAGTTAGTGGCTGAGGGCCACTCCAATGGGGACCTTAATTCCCTGGCACCTCTGGCTTGCTGTATAGGTGGGCAGAGTGGAGTCCTGCAGCCAGAGGGAGCCCTTAGGCAATGAAATGTGGATCTGGCAATTTAAAATCAGGTCAGCACGCACAGAAATATCAGGGACAAGCCGATATGGAAGGAGCTGCCAACATCAACTGCTCTGGTTTGTCTATTTGAAGTGAGAGAAAATATCGTAGGTATACTAAATATAAACTTATGTTTATTTTACTGCTATATTTCAGGGTCTGGAATAGCTACTTGTAGTTAGGCAATCACTAAATATTTCTTAAATTTGTTGATGTTTCATGACCACCGCAACTGAATGAATGAATGGAAAGTTGACGTCCATATGGTTGAGTGCCAGGTTGATGGATTCAATTCTCTTAGAAACCACTCTGGTGCTCTTTGTCATTGGGAGCCTAATTTTCAGAGCTAAACCTGTCCTGAGGCAGACCCTATCACCCTGTAAATGCTGACTGACAATCAGCTTCCTGAGGCTAATTCATCATAGTTTGGAGTGGAGACTCTATCACCTTTTTGAACAGAAAAAATAAAATTTTTTTGGAGAGCTACACTTACAAAATGTATGCATCAATGCTCTTGGATGTTCCCTAACCCCTGTTAATGCCAAGTATGGCAGATAGGTGAAGGATGGCCCAGCTGAGTGGTTTTCCATGGTAATCTTGAGCCAGGAGTGGCAAAGTACCTTAAACTAGGAAGTAAGAATACATGAAGTCAGTTAGCAAAAAGTAAGCATCATTTCAATTAGGGGCAAAATCAGATGTAGAATAAGCAGTCCAAAGGGGAATCACCAATTCAGACAGTTAAAATGCAGATAGAAGCCCAAAGAGATGAAAAAATTATGAGAACTAATGAAAAAAGAAAATTGAAATGGGTCAGTAGAAGTCAGGCCCCCAGAAGTTCTGACATTAAAGTTATGTCTTATGATGTGGTTTGAGCATTGATGTGCATGTGGTCCACTAACAATTGTCATGTAAACCGGGCCAGAGGATGCCAGTATTCTCTTTGGCTACTGTGCAATGGGAGAGAGAGAAGCATGCCCACTTCCTTCTAACCCTCCCAGGTGAGTAACATAGTGCTACCCCAATCCCAGAGGCCTAAAAATAAAACTGGAGTTAAAGTTTCTTCAAGTCCAGATGAAACCTTTAGGTAGTTTGCCTTTGATGTATTATTCATAAAGTATTTTCTTTTATCCTCTTTTCCTTTTAGACTATGAAACAATGTTTGCTAAGAGAGAAGACTGGCAAGTATTAGACAGAAGTGAACTCCTTCGATACTTCAATGACTGCGGTCACTTCCCAGCCCAGCAGCAAGTCGACGATGTCTGGGGCCTGGTCCACAGAGGTGAGGAGCTCCCATTTCCTTTCTTCTTTGCCCCTCCCTTCATTTCTTCCTCCCTATTTTCCTCCCTTGTTCTTTCCTTTTTTACTTTTATTAAACATCTTATAAATACTTTTCCTCAAATTTTTTAAATCTGATTTTAATATATATGAAAGAAGAGATTTAAAGGACAGGTTAAAAGAAGTTAATACAATAAAGCTTTTTTTATAGGAGTGGAGAAGGTGATTTTAGCTTTTATGATTTTAAGATGTTTTTTGATACAATGTAAATTGCATCTGAGTATTTTTAAACTACTATCTTTTAAATACTGATGCTGCAAAGCTTTCCTCTAGCCAGTTAGATTTGGTACTAAAGAACACAGCCAAGTTTATAGGTTTAAACATTGTAAACTATTTCAATATAAGAGAATTTCACAGTTATAAAATCATTTCTTTTCTAAACAGTAAATAAATGAAAGGACAGTATTGTATGAGAGTATTTCATTATTTAAATGGAGCAACATTACTCCCTTTTCTAAAGAAGGGTGAAAATTGTCACCAAGGTGTGGGAAATCTCAATGAATTTTCCTTAACTCCTTAAGGTTATTCTCAAGATTTCTTTCTATGTCCAGACTAACGCTATGGTTTGCTGCCGTGTTTAGAGATGACAGATGATGTATCCACAATTTAATTGAGAACAGAATGTAAACAAACAAAACCAAACATTTGAGGACCTTTTTTAATAGAGGATGCCAATAGGAAGATGATTAAAGTCAGAGTGACAAGGTTGAAGCTTCATTATAGGTGTGAAGTTCTCTTCCTTCATCAGTTCTTAGCGTAAATTTACCTAATTCTTTACCTATGGGCTTTGCTTTGCCACTGCTGTAGCCCTATACCTAGAGCAGTTTCTAGACTCTCGATAAGTATATGTTCACAGAATGGCAGAAGCATCCAAATCATTTTATGCTTCAGTGGTCATGACTAAATTGTTTGTTTGTTTAGATAATTTTTCCTGATGACAGAAACATTGAATATTTATTACAGAAAATTTGGTAATATAGAAATTTATAAAATTGCTAAGAAATAGCAATTGTTAACAATTCATGTCTATCTTTCCAGTTTTTTTCTGTACATATGACATTACTTTTATGAAAATTGAGATTATTTTTTACGTTTGAAAATCTGCTTTTTTGCTTAACAGTATTCATAAGGTTCCAAACTATAAATATGTTTTACAACATTATTTGTGACTAATAATCTGTCACATGGATGTTCTGTAAAGTATTTACTGTTGCACATTTGAAGTCTTTCCATTTTTCTTTATAATAAATAATAAAATGAAAAAAGTAAATACAGCAAAACAGAATCAATTAGGCATTTTAGAAACTTATAATGATTAGCGTTAGTAATTTAAAATGTAAGGATTTTTTAAAATTAACAGTTTATGGAGATATTTTCCTCTACTCATTATTTTGGAGTATATAATAAAGGCTTAGATTTAGAGCATGACTCTGGAATTAGCTTGCCTGGGTTTAATTCCTGGCTCCACCACTTACCAGCTGTATGTCTTTGGACAATTTATTTATCTCTGCTATGCCTTATTTTTCTCAACTATAAAAGGATGATAATACTACCTAAGTCACTAAACTGTTGTGAGGTTTAAATGAAATAATTCATATAAAATATGTGTCCCATTATAAGTGCTCAATAAATGTTTGCTATTATTCTTAAATAATTCTTAAGTATACTTAATCATGAATATAAGTTTTCATAATTGTTTTTTATTTTGAAAATGTTGAACCTAATTCTATAATGTCTCATTTTTATAGAGGTTATTTACTGAATGTCATCCATTGGTTTCCACTGATAGCATCTCTTTTGATTATCATAATGACCTGTGTGCTAAAGGAGGTTATATGCTCATTTCACAGATGAGAGAACTGAGTTTAGAAAGAGACTTTTCTAAGCTCATTAGTAGAGCTGGAACTTTCCCCTGGTCTCTTCAAGTCAAGTTCAATGGTCTTTCCGTTTTACTATGTGGAGACACTTTAAAAGTCAGTATTATGAAAACATAATTAGATGAATGATTAAAACATTCTTGACAGCAAGTACTGCCTTTTATTGATCTTTCACAGACTAGTTTAATGCTTTGCAATATAGTAGGTTTTCTGTAAATGATTGAGTCTGTTAAATTCCTTATTAAAACTAGAATTTTCCAAGGAAAACTTAGTTTAAAAATATATTGTTTTTATTATAATACCTAAAATAGGGAAGCTTTACTTTATAGAAAGGAGCCATTCTAACATAATTTTAAATATATGTTCAGCTATGTTGCTCCATCCGGTTAAAAAATTCTTTTGGTGCATAAAAAGCTTTCATATAAAATGGAAATATTCTAAATAATGGAAAGAAAAGAGAAGATTTATGGGAAATTGAGCTAAATTAATGATTTTCTCTTTGCTTCTGGCATATATTCCATTTTTAAGAGAAGATGATTTTATGCATTTTAGATTGTCAGTCATCTTCATTCATATTGACTTCTTTGATTGTGGGTAATAGCTCCAGATGTGCAACCTACGCATTTTTTTCAACCAGTAGAATATTTCACCTAACACATTTGTAGTTAATTTAATTGATTAACTTCTTCAGTGTGAAAACACCAAGTAGGTCACATTCTTAAAACTGTCTGTATGTGTTCAGTTATTTTTAGCTTTTTTTTGTTTTCATTCTTTATTCTTATCACTATGGTAACAAAAAAATTTGTGACTGAGAACATGATTTTTGTCTGAAAAATCTTCCTTTGGGAGAATGAAGCAACTTTAGGCTGCATGCATAGGCTGATCTTAAAAGCTGAAGACTATGCAAACATGGAAACATTTACTTGATATTTATTTAAATCTCAATGAATGAAACTAATAACAGTAGAATGGTATATCTGAAAGTAATGAAAATAATATGTTGTTGTTCTGTGTTATCTGTTCTCACATCTGCCCAAAATTTGGAAATTTGAACTTTGACGTTTTTCCAGTGTTTTTCCAATGTGTAAATAGAACTTTAAGTTTATTTTCTGTAATTAAAATGAACAGAAAACAACAATGAAGACAAGTCCATTTTCACTGTGGAGCCTTAGACAAAAATCTTAAAATCAGGGGCAGGCCTGGTGGCGCAGCAGATAAGTTCTCACGTTCTAGTTTGGTTGCCCAGGGTTCGCTGGTTCGGATCCCAGGTGTGCACCTGCACACTGCTTGTCAAACCATGCTGTGGCAGGCGTCCCACGTATAAAGTAGAGGAAGATGATCATGGATGTTAGCTCAGGGCCAGTCTTCTCAGCAAAGAGAGGAGGATTGGTAGCAGATGTTAGCTCAGGGCTAATCTTCCTCAAAAAAAAAAAAATCTTAAATTCAAAAACATAGAAAGTGCTTGTATGTTATTTAGCCTGACATATCCTATGCATCTGAGGAAACTATGGCCTGAGATAGAATGTGAGTTATTTCAGGCTCCTTAACTAGTTAGTGGCAAACTGTAACTATATCCTGGGCCTCCTGTTCCTTGGGGTACAGCTTTGTCCACCACAAGCAGACAGCACTGAGTTTTCTGCCATTTTCTCAAGATATGGCTTATGTTATTAAATGGGAAGCGTATAATGATTTTCCCTTAATTTTTTTTTCATATAAAGAGGCATTCTAACAATAAAATTCTAATTACGTAGAAAGGAGATTAAAGAGGATTTAAAAAGATAGTAGAGGGTTCTAGGATATAAGAAAAGTGAGACAGTGGCAAATTCTGATGGTAAAAGAATGCAGAAGTATCAGAGGTAACATGTTACCAAAGCCTTATTTTAAATAACTTCTAAGAAATAAATTTAACACATTCTTATTATAAAACATTTTGAAAAGCAAAAGATGATGTGAAAAATACTGGCAATTTTATGTCCCAGGATGACATGAGGCTACTGACTAGAGGTCAACTAGAATAGGTAGCCAGGTCGTCTAAGGATCTCCCAGTGCCATCATTAACGTTCGAGGAAAGTATCTGGCAATCTGTCTTCCTTTTTATATAATAAAAATGCCATTACACTGTATATGCGGTTGCTGGTACAAACCTCAATCCATGAACTCACTGTTTTTCTATAAGGAGTTAATTTTTATTTCTAGCCTCCATCCATCACAACGTCATTTCAGTCAATTTGGCTTTTCATTCTCTTTTTCTGACGTTGTGGATAGATAAGAATGGAGGGCATTTATGTAGTAACATGGCATGTGGAGTGTCCACCTAATCTGCAATGTCATCTGTCAACATAGGTATTTCCTGGTGTATTAGTTTGCTAGGGCTACCATAATGAAATACCACAGACTGGATGGCTTAAACAACAGAAGTGAGTGTGGATCATGGATCACTTTGTGTTTATCATACTTGGGTTTCATTGAAATTCTTGGATCTGTAGATTAGTGTTTTTCATCAAACGTGTCAATTTTTCAGCCAATTTTTTTTCGTACATTTTTTCCCTCTCCTTTCCTTCTAGGACTCCCATTATACTTATATTAGTACACTTAGCATAGTCCCAGAGGTCTCTGAAGCTATGCTTATCTTTTTTTCAATCTTTATTCTGTTTTTAAAAGTGATATACATTGATCTATCTTCAAGTTCACCATTTCTCCCTTCTGCCTTCTTAAATCTGTTGCTGAGCCCATTTTGCAAATTTTTCATGTTTTTAATTATGTTTTTCAACTCTAGAATCCATTTGGTTACTTTTTATAGATTCTGTTTCTCTTGGTAATCCCCATTTGGGGGTAATTTTCATATTTTCCTTTAATTCTTTAAATATAATTTATTTCAATTATTTGAGCATATTTATAATAGCATCTTTGAGGTCTTTGTCTGCTAAATCTAACATCTGAGTCCACTCAGGAATTTTATTGACTGCTTTTTTTCCCTGAGTGTGTGTCACACTTTCCTGTTTGTCTGAATGTTTTTTTTGTTGTTGTTACTGTTGAATACTGGACATTTTAGATAACATGTTTTTCA